GTGTATGTGTGTGTGTGCGTGTATGTGTGTGTGTGCGTGTATGTGTGTGTGTGCGTGTATGTGTGTGTGTGCATGTATGTGTGTGTGTGCATGTATGTGTGTGTGTGCATGTATGTGTGTGTGTGCATGTATGTGTGTGTGCATGTATGTGTGTGTGTGCATGTATGTGTATGCCTGTGTGTGTGAGTGAGATCATCAGAATTTGGTGTGATTGCCGGTCCCCAGAGGCACTACTGTGGAGGCTCTTTCAGTGATGATCTTGCTGATTGCTTGACCACCAGCATCGGCACTAACATGGAAGTTACGCGGAAGTGGAGAAAAAAAAAAGACAATAGACTGAATACCTTTTGACTGCGTCTCCAGCCAGTGAAATATACCAGTGCTTATTAGCGGAATAACGTTACGTCGTTTTTTATTCTCTGGGAAATGAAAAACTGATCTAATGTCCAGATTTATTTGGGAATTATAAACATGCTGTAGGTCATATAAGTAAAATGAGGGCCTTCAAGTCTCATTTGCGATTGTGAGGCCGGTGTTGCGCACATTCATACTGCTCACACGTGATTATGTATCACTTTGTTTCACACCCTGTTTGTGTGAAGGTGCTTATTTACTGATGGATCTACAACATCAGCAGGGATGGGGGAAGAGATTGTCCAATCACATTGCAGGCTGACTTCGACTGCTCACTGAATAGTGATGATTAATGCACTACAAACCCCACCCAGTCTGGATTTGTTTCGATTCCCTGTAACCCTGTGTTAAATTCAGGTTTGCCTAAGTTGGCTATGAAGCGTACAAGAAATGTCTCTACAGATGTTATTGTTAAATTTTGTTTTTGGCTAGTGGCCACTGTGGTGACAATCGAGAAGCTCCGGCGTGCGCATGCAGCTGGGCACAAAGCATCCTCGTAACTCATCTCATTTTCATTTCGGCAAGACTCCAATTCACCAGCCCTTGACATTTTCATTCCAGGGGCAAAATATAAAATGTGCCCTCCAGCCCACACACCCACTCCGCCCTGTTCAAGAGGGACCAGTGAGGTTGAATAGGGAGTGAGGCCCGTGTTACGTAAATTCACACTGCTCACTTATCCTTCCTGTTTATATCGGAATCTGTTTTGTCAGCAGCTAATCAATTACTATACATAAGTAACTTATAATTAATGCTTTTTGAGAAAAGTTAACTTAAAATGAAGCAACCTAAATGAAAGACCTTCCCTGTGTTTTCCACCAATTACCATTTTGAACACCAGGTATCTTTTTCTAGGACCCGATTGACTTAGGCTGACATTAATATGGGCACTCAGGTGTTGTCAATTTAAATAACCGTTGCATTTTCCCCGAGGAGGGGCAGGGTCCAGACGTTTGTCAGAGCCCTAAGCTATAGCCTAGGATACCCTATGCATTGATCTGCCCCTGTCCGTTTCAATCAAGTGTAATGGTTGGTATTGCGGGTGACAGAGTGCGGGGGGCAAGGTGACAGCGTGAATACGAGACCTGGAACGGAGCCGCACAAGCTGACGGGCACGAACGCTGACACTCACAGGTTCTGGGTGGGTAGGTCTGCAGCGGTTATGCAGCGGTAGGTCATCTCCTGTCAAGAGATTCTACTGTTAGTCGCCAGGGTAGAAAAGACTGGAAAATCAGCCGATTACTGCTGGATACAGAGCACCCTTCCACTGTGTCTCTGGGGTCCGTCTCAGTGTCGTTCTTAGTCCTGTGAAACACCCTGCCTCTCCCCAGCTGAAGGGAAATATCTCACTGGGCCCCAAACGACCGGAGAACAGTCATCGCCTTAGCAACACCTGCAGCAACAGATGATGTGAATATTTTAAGTGATGGATTCATGTACATTGCATGCAGCTCATAGCAATTCGGGCTCACAAAACACAAAGATAAATTCCTCTTAAAAAGTGTATGTATATATATATTTTCTAGACATCACTCTTGGTAAACGAATGAATTAACAAATAACTAATGCCATAACAACTAATGCCATAATAACTGATGCCACATCTTACAATTTGACTCATTAAAAAAACAATTGTTCATCTCCTTCATCATATATAACCTCACATTACTCTACCTGGATCTGCGCTTGAGGGATTCAGAATGACTGACACTTGAAACTGTCTTGCACAACATCCGCACCCCACAAGGCAGCGAGCTGCGAAGTGACCCCTTATCGTTAGCTATGCATGGCAGAATTGCCCGAGAGGGGATTTCATGATTCATCAAACGAGAACTCCCTCTTCCTCTGCCCCGAGGCGCCCATGCGTAACGCTCTGCCGCCACACCTCCACGAACCGCTAACGAACACCGCGCGGACCAGCGGGTGAGGGGGGAAAAAATACCCTCAAAAAGTACAGAATGGAAGATATGGAGATGCTCCACAGGGAGAACCAGCACCTGTGCCTCCCCTGCTGGAAGTCACATATAACGACTATGACGTCCTTATGACCCGTTTTTGTTGTTATTCCGCTAATGCACATTTTTAAATAGGAGTAGCTAGCATTTGGTTTTTAACGCCAAAATATGCAGACATTTTTAGGGTACTTGCTGTGCTGAAATGAACATGCTAGAATTTACATGTTAAAATTTCTACCAGTTTTGCTTTCTTATTTATATACTTTGTAATTTAATCTAACATGTGGGAACTGTTTAATAGTACTTGCAAAGTAACTTTGTCCTGATTCAAGACCTTTGAATGGTTAATAGTCCAGCATTTCTAAAGAGCATTAATTTAAATACATGAAAACTTCCCTCAGAAAAGTAACTTAGTGTTTCTAGGGCAACAAAGCTCTGAATGTTGTGTCATCATTGTGTTTCATGAACAAACATAAATAAATATGAACAAATCAGTTCTCAGATGAGAGGATTGGGAAGTCGAATGCCTGAAAGCTCTAATTAAAGGAATAATGTAAAACGGCTTTTCTCATTTATTAAAGTGGGGATAAAATAAATTCAGTGGCAAGCCACAAGGCAAGCTCAAAATGGACTTCCTGACCCTTCTGTGATTTAGCTTGAAAAAGCTATCGAATTATAATCCATTCTTAACTGACTCGTCTGAACGTGTCTCACTTACCTTGTTAAATTTGTAAGTTTCAGTGGTGGTATCCAAAATGCAATAACATATCAATCATGTTCATAGAGTAAGTTAAAACACAGACAATAACCATATTTGGACAAGTAAATTAATTAGGTTTCACCTTTGCCCTTGTCACAGTAAAAGTAAACTGGCAGTCAGTTGAGAACAGCTGTACAGTGATATCACACGGTAACTGTCCATTCGGTGCCGTCTTCTCTTGTTTCGGAACAGAAATGTAGCATTAATGCAAGATGAACTGATACAATCACATTAATACTCGAAGGAGCATCGCCAAACCACACAGCAGCCTCAGCCACCCACTTAGTTCCAGCCTCAGCACCGTCACCCTCTGCTGTGACCGTAAGGAAACGCTCTCTTGGAAAACAGGTGTCAGATACATTTACTGAACAGACTTGCCGTAAAATAGACCGTTCCTTTAAACAAGCCTTTTGATATTGTTGATTACAATTAGAAACTCTGTGTTTGCTTAAGACTGCCTATGGTGTTTTATACCAGACAGCATAAGAATCACAAATGAATATATATCGAATATGTCTAATATAACTGACCAAATATTTTGAAAAGGACAAGAGTAATATAATTATTAATTTTTTGGGAACTGAAACACAAACATCTAGTGTATCCTGCAGTAACGTATTTTAAATTGTATCCTAATCTCGAATAGTTTGGGATATATAGAAGAAACTACAGTGACCTTATTTTACTAATTTTGTAGTTATTTTCACTTGGTGAAATTTACATTTTTTCATAATCTCATAGATAACATCAGAGGCAGGTCTTTGAAACAGATCAATAAAAAAGCTGGATTTATTCTCTTGAAAATGATGAGGCGGAAAGCGCTGTAGTTTGCCGGAACGTGCCCTGCACCATCTCCGCTTTCCTGGAGCGCACCTGGCCAGTGACTTATCAAAAACAGCCCAGGCGCAGAAACAGCCATTCGCCTTATGACTGAGTTTGTACCAGTCCCTGCCCGTTTTCCGGCCACAGAAGCAAAATCAGCATCTTTAAGCAGCGGCTTTAAATTCTCACACTTCCCCTCAAACAAAATAAACACTGTCAATAGAAATTAACACAGAAATAACTCAGTCAGCACCAACTGGACTAAAGGATATTACATGAAAATGCTTTTTTTTTTTTCTTTTTTTCTTTACCAGCCATGAATCATAACTGCAGTTGGACTGTTTAATACCGAGACTGCAAATTACATTCTGTTTATCCTAATAAGCACAGAATTAATACTTCAGTGCAATAGAAAAATGCCTGTGTGACAAACTAATATTTACAATGCTGTGTATTCGTTGTCTCTTAAGACACGTGGAAATAAATACATTCATTATCAGCAAATAAGACACAAAAATGTTGAAATACCTCACCACAAATGTAGGAATTACACTATAACTAATATAAAGACTTCACTCGCTGATTTAATATTCTCTTTCTTTTTCATATGTTTTTAGCAAAAGAACTGTGTTCTTGTGTCTAGTTGTGCATTCAGGTGAAATGCCACTCTTTCCATTTTCATTATCTCTGTACAAAAATATTTTATTGTGAAGCTGTTATACATATCAGTCCATTTTATTCCTATTTGAATTAATTGTAACAATTACTTGTAGAGTAAATAATCTGGGGGCCCTATGCTGACATGGGTAGGGGGCCCTGCCCCCTAAGTGGGTTATTTAAGCTACTTTTTGTAGCTGGAACAGCAACGAGGGGGAATTGAAAATGACAGAACATCAATAATCTGTTAATAAAAAGTGCGGGGTGCCAGCGGTAAAACTTACCGATAAAGGCGTGGGATGGAAGTGTTTTTGGTAAAATAATTCGCCAATCTGGGGGGGAGGGGTATTGCGCTGCTGGATCGATAGGCCAAATTTAAGAAGTCTAACAGCTCCCTCTTTCGCTGTGGCCTTTGGCTGTAGCCTAGGATAGCCAATGCCTTACTGTGCAATAGAAAAACGCCTGTGTTTTCCTACTACTCTAGCAGGATAGTAGGAATGACACAGGAGATATAATTATGGGTGTCACAATTTAGTTTATTAAAAAAATATTTTATTGAAATGACCTATTTGATTCCTAAAATGCTTCAATTCATTATGACAAATGTTTTCCTTCGGTACCACTAGGTAGTCATGGAGGTAGTTCAAATTATCACAAAAGAAAACGGTGGTTTGTACACTGGGCAATGTTTTGATGGCATACCACAGCAGCACGAGCGCTATGCACGAGCGCTATGCACGAGCGCTATGCACGAGCCCTATGCACGAGCGCTATGCACGAGCCCTATGCACGAGCGCTATGCACGAGCTCCTGAAGAGCAAACACACAGGTACTATTCTCGATGATGGACCACCAGAACAAGCAAAACCACCCTAAGTGTTGTCTATTCATGTTTTATTAAAAGTACCATTAGTACGGAGAGCTTTTTAATATCTTTTTTCCTTGTCGCTGCTAAATACACTCATTATTGACGCCATAAAGTTGTCTGCCTGCAACTTTACAATTTCCACTGAGAAAATCTGGGCTTATTCTACACTGACTGACAGTGCCAGTGTGTGTATTTGTGTGCACTGGGGTTGTTGGACCAGTGTTGTTAAGGTAAAACTTAAATGAAAACGAACACTAAATTAAAAAAAAAAATTCATGAACAGAAATAAAAATGAACACTATTTACCAAAAACAGTGTCAGATTTTGAACTGCAAAACAAATCACCACCGTCTTTTTACCTACTTTAACCACGTTATCTCCTGTTTTGAATGCTGATGTTACTATTGAGCTGTCCCTTTCTTCACTGCGACTTCAGTGCTTATCACTTCCATGATTTACCAAAACAATCACACGTAGCGTGATCCGCTTACCAAATTTAATAAGGATAAGGATATGGCAAATTTATACAGAGTACTCACTTTTGGACATCACAATATGCCTCTCAGTAATATTTTAGGTGTATGGCTAATCTGTTTATCAAATCGTGGCCGTAACTAACTTCTGTATAGTGGCGACAAAATGGCATCTGTTACCTATAACCCGACAATAACAAACAGTTTGTTGTTGTCAAATAAAATTAGCTTAAAAGAAAAAGTTAATTGATTTTTTGGAGGAAAATTTAGATTAACTGACCAATTAGTTGATAGATTAATCGATAGAAAAATAGTCATTAGTGGCAGCCCTAGACATAATGTTAGTCTTGTATCTTGTGTCTTCAAAAGAACCTTGACCATTTGACTAGAATGGTTTGACCATTTTGAATAATAGTTAATCTCCGTTCCCTTTATTTGAAAGGGATTAACACTCAGTTTGTTTTGATGTTCAAACTGAACTTCACACTTCGTTGTGGATGCTTGTGAGGCCAGTGAAGAGACATGGCAAAATTTTGGGACTGATTTAGAACCTAACAGAAACCACAGTAAATATCATTAGTCAGCAGGGGTTTTAGGCCGGTAACGGAGGTTTTTTTACTGTGGCCAACAAGTCTAACTTCCAAGAAATTGGCCTTGGTGGGGAAGGGGGCGGGGTGGCAGTCAGGTATGCAAATAGCAAAACCCCAGACACCTGGTTGCCTATAATCAAACTTACCACAAAAGAGCCAAGTCATACTCACCAGCCAGTGAAAGCCCCCCCCCCAAGTGAGGCAGCTCAGCACACATGTAAATGTGGGTGCCTGATTCTCGATTCTCGGTTAGGCGACGGGACGTTTTTGGGGCCCATCGTTATGTGTCCTGTGGGGCTTGACTCACTCCCAGTCAACTGTCACCAGCAACACACCAGAGAAGACACACAACATAGCACTGGTCTTAAACCTGAAGTCACCAAAGCTTACATCTTAAAAATCTTCAGCCTGAAAGCATCTCCAAGGATTATCTCCAGCTAGTATTTGCAAATATCGTACCTACACCGTCTGTATCTTCTCTCTCCTCTTCTTGATACAGACGCTCTACTTACGAACTTTCAACTTATGAACTTTCAGACACATGAATGAAGAGGACTGCAAGTCAAAATTGTGTTCCTTGGGCTCCCGTTTCCTGTCCGCAACATCAAATCTTTTTCTGCGCGCCAATTCCGCCTAGTATGACTTCTGGCCGCTACTCCCGCCGCGCAGCAGCGTAGCGTGCGTACTCACAGCATCCTACAGTAGTTCTTTGTACTTGCGTATACCCTTAAAATGATGTTGAATAATGACTTACGAACATTTCAAATTACAAACGGCCGTTCGGAACATAACTCATTCGTAAGTAGAGGAGCGTCTGTATTTGTTTTTATACATCGGTGTGACAGTAGAACCACTCAAGATAAACCCACAGAACCAAGTGCCATTGACGAACACCTCAATCACATTCAGATACATGCACACTGAAAAGAAATACATTAAAAATAGGTAGTACCCATGTATTTCCATCTGTTATATTCAAATCCAGAATCTCTTAAGCAAAGGGAAACCATCAGACAAGGAGACATCAAGATTTAACACCTTCTTAAATTGCAGTACATCATACCCTAAGTTTATGAGAAAAATGTACAACTAAATCGATATTTCCTATGACTTAGTGGGCAGCAGATATTTCCACACTGTGTGTCTGGGGACACAAACACTCTAAAGAAGCAATTTGTTCTCCGGATGTCTAACAATCAATTGAGGTAGAAGATAAACACAATCCTCCATGGCGTATTCCGTGTGTATGAATGGAACACAAGAGTATGTAAAACTGAGACCAACCTTAGCCTAAGCATTACCGTCTGCTGTAAACAGATACTGAAAACATACAGTAAGGACAGATCTTATGTGATGTCTTAGAAATACCTTGTTGAGATAGAGGTTGGTTTTCAGAATGGTTTTCAGTTTTGTTCAGATGAAACACAAAAACACATATTCCGAGACCACTGCTCACCTTGGCTAATGAGAATAAGATGACAAGACAAAACATAAGTAGAAACTGACAACAAAGGTTCCAGCCTTTCTTTGACTTAGATGAGCTGGGTCAGGAAAAGGTCACCCATGTAGGGTAGTAGAGGGGAACTCAAAAGGATGAAAAATGTTTCCCTTTCCTAGCAATGGCCACGGTGACAGGGCTCCAGACTAACCTTTTTCACTAGTAGCACTGTTGCTTTTTACCGACAATTTTAGGAGCACCAGTGCAAAATTTAGGCGCACTGCTCAAATCGACATGCAATGCAACACATTCATATTTCTCCCATCTTCACTATATTGCTGATAAATACTTTGGTAGTAAATATACTGTGGCGACAGGTGGACTGAGTAACCCTTACAAGGACTTCATCAGGCACCCAACGGGCACCAAAACCAATTACAAATAAACACAAGGTTGTCAGACGCCGAACTGTAAGACGCATACATGGTGGGGGATTTACGGAAGCTACTGTAGTTACACACAGGGATCAGGTACACACAAGACACAGGTAAACACACGCGTAACAATAAGGAATTAACCATTAACAATAACAGCAACAACACAACAAGGGCTATTTATAACTGCACGTGGGGCATGCTGGGACATGCGCCCCGCCGGTGCTACAATACAACTTACACAAATTACAATGAGATGTTCTATTTTAAAGTAAAAAGTGACAGAGTGAAGTAGTGCTTTGAGAAAAAAAAATCAAGTTAAATTTGTTTTAGTGTCACTAAAGGCCCATGTGAGAGCAAATGTATTTATGGACCAGACACAGGTATATGACATCCTGTACAGAATCATCCCTGTTATGGTGACAATCTGACATTAGCTCTCCACTCTAATCCCTTTCTCTCCCTCACACACACAGACACACACACAGTATTAGCAGTAGGTGATATCTAACGTTTGATACAATCCAGACATTACACTCAGGTGTACAGTATTTCAACTGTATTTGAAAAGAAAACGCTATTCTGGTATTTTGAAATCCCTCAAGATACAGTTTCGCCAAATGGAAAATACTAAATAGTAGTTCTACTTATAAACACATTTTCAGTTTGTAAATGTGAATATAATTTCAAGTGCAAATGTGTAAGCAGCACTGTAATGCATTAACCCATAGTTGATGAAAAATGTGTATGTAGAAATCGATAAGTGGCCCTGTACTTCAAATGTCATCGAATTTCAAGTGCTAAAAAATTTGGAACCACTTCTAATTCTTCTACCTGGCAGGGGAGATGCCATGATCAGGAAGGTGGTTCACCCAGGGTGAGGCCCAGCCATTGCACTGTGGCTGTGCTGACCACTGCGGATTCCCCAAATGTGGGAATCTCCACTGCATAATTTCTGGTAGTGGAGGACTGCGTTTGCGATCTCCTATGATTCTTTTCAGGGGCAGTGGTGTCTTAATGGTTAGGGAAGTGCACTTGTAATTGAAAGATTGCAGGTTCAAATCACCGACCAGCAAGGCACCACTGAGGTACCCTGAGCAAGGTACCACCTCCAAGCACTGCTCCCCGGTCGCTGAATTAGCTGCCCCCTGCTATGTCATCACGTCACATATGGGTTAAATGCAGAGGACACATTTCGTTGCTATGCACTCTGTGCTGTGGTGTGTCAACAATGACCCCCGATCACCAAATAATAATTTGGAATTGGTTCTCAATACCTAACCTTACACAGCAATCCTCTCGCCCTCCTGGCGTTTCACGTGACATAAGATGATGGTTTAAAAATAAATGAATGGGAAGTAGCACTGATGCCCCTAATCATAAAATTTAGTCTCCAAATGGTCACAAAATGTGACTAAATGGTGGCAATCTGGAGGCCTTTTTACATTCAGAGGATGATGGAGGTGATGCTTGAAGAATCTTAAAAAATTTAACGTATGGGGCAGGGGGTGGCTCGGTGGGTAAGCCACCATGCCTATGATCAGAAGGTTGCCGGTTCAAGCCTAGCCTTGGCACATCTGTGGTTTCCTGAGCAAGGTCCTTAACATCAAGCTTGCTGGGTGCTGCTATGGATGGCCACTCCTCACAGTGCCAAACATTAGATATCACCTATTACTAATACTCCATTGCTACACAGAGCAAGCTGCGGGGGGTGTACAGGGAATTTCCCCATGGGGATCAATAAAAGTATCAATTACATATCAAAGGTACGTTGGTACAGTGGTTCAGTCGATAACACTGTCATCTCACGCCACCATATATGGGGTTTAAAATCATCTCATCCTTGGTGTATATACAGTTTACATGTCCTCCCTGTGTTACATGCTTTTCCTTTGGGGAATGTCATTTCCACTCATGTAGTTAGGTGATTTCGCATCTCTAAATCACCTGCAGTGTGTGATTGTGCACCTGTGCCCTGTGATGCATAAGCATCCCATCCTTGGGGGGGGGGGGGTCCCCTACCCTGTAACTTATGCTGCCTGTCATACGCTCCAGGCTCTGTCCTGGATAAGAGGTTACAGGATCGATGGATGGATGGTCTTCATTTGCATAACCAATAATGTTGTTCATTTGCACTTGACACACTTAAAGGTTGGAATGTGGACAGGTTGGCAGCATGAATTGTTACAGGTTGAGTTCACTACACGTTGATGTCAAAGCTGGTACCTCCCCCCATGCCCTATATTTCAGAAAAGTCAAAAGGGCTACAAGACTTTTCTGCATGCTGGAACTTGGAATTGGGGAGACAATGATTTTAGAGACTGCTCAAAGGTGATGCTCTCTTCACCAAAAATACCTGCTGTGAAAACACTATGCTGTAGGCTACATCTGGACTCCGGTCTGACATGGGCATACAACAACTGCAGGTGGCCTGTGTGATCTGCTCAACACATCATGGACACTCCAGTCCATGCAGACTCAATGTTACTGAGTAATGTCATGACAACAAGTCAACTAGCAATGGCTTCCGGGGCGCAACAGGTTTGTTTATTTAATTTTTTTTTTCTCTTGTCCTTTTTTTAACAGGTCCTGCAACTGAAACAACTGAAATCAGGTGCACAAATGGGAGCAACAACCACACCGTCTACTTCTGATGCTCTCGATATGAGACGTCTTTCATGCATCTGAGGTCTATAACAAGCACACTCTGAGAAATTAGGGAAACTTTTTTTTGAGAGTCACACTTTCAGAACATAAAGCACATAGATTTATATCTCTCTTTTTTCTATACTTTCAAACATCCCCCCACCCTCCAATCCTCCAAACAAAGGAGCCACATATATCTGGACCACTGGGGAGGAAATTTCTTTTGCAACGGGGATAAGTAGGGGGGGGCGAGAAGGGAATTTGGGCGATGGGATACCAGCATGCGGCGGGCGGCTTCAGCGTTCGGTACGCAACCCGCAGTGGAAATGCAAGTCATGGCCGTCCGCAGTGAGCCACTTTCATGAAGACACTTGTCGCTACAAGTAAAAGTTACACTTTCAAAGCCGCCGTAACCTGCAGCGTTTTACCCGGCTGCGGTGTGAGTCAGTGCAGTTTCCTATGAAATACCACCATTACAGCAAAGCAGCAACAGCATTCCCGATCACACCCCCCCCCACCCCTGCTCAGTTATCATCATTAGACATGTTTACATTTTCTGTTTATCAGCCTTTGGGTAAAAGGAGACCTGGATGAGATCCATGGAGACCCATCCAGAGGGGTCTGTCATATGCTCCAGGCTCTGTACTGGATAAGAGGTTATCCAGTACAGTGAGAATCTGTGTAGCTCGTGATATAGTCCATGTGGAGAGCAGGTGAGGCTGCATTTATGAGCAGTGAGGTCTAAGCAGAAACAGGTGCAGGCCCTTCTGAACGCATCATAAGATTTATCTTATTTATTGTGTTTATTTTTTAATTAAGTACATGTCTTGTTTTGTTGCTTTCTTGAATGGATTACAAAGACGTTTGACATTAATTAATTAACCAGCAGTATTTGTTTGACAGATATTGCAAAAGATTTTGATGACTTGTAACATTTCCAAACGACACTAAATTTGTTGACATTAAATTCATGACGGGGGTCAAGATGAGTTGAAGTTTAGGGTGTTTCAAGGAACTGTTTGAGTATGTGGGGATGCTGAGCTGGTACGGCATCCCACATCACCCTGGGCCTAATCTGGATGGCACTAAGGCCTTTTTACATGCTTTTGACACATTTACTACTGCATCCTGAATCGCCATGAAGCCTTGGCTGTATGCCTCCTACCTGCAGTATAGGCGTGGCGGAGTCATGGATGGAGAGGATATGCGTGATGTTGTGCTTAGCCAGTTGCTCTCGATCCCGTGCATCTAAGAAGAGATGAGATGAGTCAGGACGCTCTCCGGAATCCGTGCAAACAAACAATTTTTAAAATGCAACTGCAAGGCCACCCAACCACACCAGGCAAACACATGGCCAGGAAGAAAAAACAGGTTTTCTCGCTTTGAACTGAAAGAAAAACCGGAAAACCAGTGTTTCTAAAAACAAGCCAACACCTTGGCTGAAAAGTATGAAACAGCAAATGTTCTAATCAAATTTGTTCTTTAAAAGGAAGCCAAATGTTTGGCACTTGTGCAGATGTATTTCAGTGATTGCTTCAGTCCACCCTGCAAACACCTGATGTCGACTCGATTTGAAGGGCTGCCTTGCAGGACATTTGAACCGTAGGCTTCCTGGTGTCCAACTAGCTCAAATGAACAAACTTGGACTCTCTTATAAAATACCAGTTGTGATTCGTAATGGCACTTTTTCTGAATAATCAAACTTGTAATGCACAAACATTGTATCCAGACACACACTGTAGTCACCTTTTTGTAAATGTAAATTAACCATCCTATTATTTTTATTTTTATTTGCACAATGCATGCAGCAGAGATATGGATTTGGAAAAAAATATATAGCATTCTTTGGAAAATGCATGATACCACATGCAGAGCAATATGCAAGGCAGGGGTGGGGAGCCTGATCCATGGAGGGCCGGTGTGGGTGCGGGTTTTTGGGATGATCTCTCAGTCAGCCAATAACAGTGGGCCCCCAGGACTGGAGTTGAGAACAACTGTTTTATTATTGGCTGTTTGAGAGGTCATCTCACAAATCTGCAGCCACCTCCTCGCCCCTGATGCAGGGCATTACTAAAAAGGGAACAATTGTATATATACAGGCCTATTTGCGTAAAAAGGAGGGACTCCATCCATGAGACATGGCAACTGGATATCTCAGTGCATATAAACAGAGAGCTCCTGCCCACGACTTCAGACAACTCCACACTTTCCTCCAGCAGGTGAAGAGACAGGAGAACTTTCCAGGGGTAGGAAGGATTAAGGTTTGAGGGAGGGGACGGAAGGGCCAGAGAGTGGTGCTGCTGCAGCCGGCAGTGCGGCCGCGGCTGCAGAGCACGCAAGGAGCCGCGCGGCAGTGTAACCATGGCGATGTCACGGCCCTCCCACGGCTGCCCAGAGCAAAAGGAAAGGTAGCAGTGAACATGACGCCACCTTTAAACGCTTTACAATTTTCGCAGAGAACGCGTGCTTCTTTCAACTTGTGATTGTATATTCTTAAAAGTAACAAAAACGTAGTTTTTACATAAATATTCAAAATTAGAATGAACAGGTGCATGCAGAATTAAAGGAAAAAAATATTCAGAAATAAGAATCTTGCAAACTCATGTGAAATTATGAACGAGCGATTCTGGTTTTATTGTTTTCCAGATGCTACGACCAGTTTTTTCGTGACACGATGGTGATCTAGCGTGAGACACTGCACCCTGACGAACCGACAAAGCCAAGCTGCACGACCGATGTGGTATCAGTGTTAAAAGTCAAAACGCAGCCCGGTTTCAGGTCAGTTTCTCACTTTACATGGTGTCTCTGTTCCTCAAAACAATGTATGGCAATTAAGTGATGCAGTCCATTGGAACCTCTCCATAGGCTTCCAAGCAGGCGCGTGGCCAAGTAATATACTATTCGTTTGTTATCGATAAGGCACGTAGCCAGCTACTAAAACAGTGGCCTGTACTACGAAGCGGGGTTACTGGCTTAACGGGGTAACTTGTCAGATTTAAGGTAGTCTGGGCAAAATGTAAATGAACGAATATGAGGTCCATTTAAACGGTGCTACCTTAAATCCGACAAGTCACCCCGATAAGCCAGTAACCCCGCTTCGTAGTACAGGCCACAGGACTTCGAACTTCCTTCAAAATATTATTGGACTACCCCCCCCATCAATGAAATCTATCAATCTGTCTATTTCCTGGCTAAGGACCTGCTTCTGAATAGTCTAGTCCAAATAACTATAAAAAATCTTAATGTTTTAAAAGTATAAATTTTATTTTCATTTATTATTAAACCATATTGGTGTTCCTTTACAGGTGAAATTCAGAAAAAGTACCTATATTAATAGGCACGTGTGATTAATAAGAATGACCATGATTATTGATTGATTGTAAAATTACATTCCATAAATTTCTCCATCCATCCGTCCATCCATCCATTCCCCAACCACTTATAAATGACAGGGTTACGGGGGGGGGGGGGCAGGGGGGGCTCAGAGCCATTGCAAAGCAGGACAGAACACAAGGCAGGATGCCAGTCCCTCACAAGACAGACAGGCACACACACACACACACACACAAATGGGCAATTTAGAAATGCCAGTTTAAGAAAATGCATATCTTTGAACTGCAGCACCTGAGCAGAGGCTGTCCACACTTTTTAAAAGATTTTCTCATATTTGGAGTCAAGGGAGGTAAAAGGGGGGGTGGGGGTGGTAGTTAGGATGATTCCAAGGGCCCCTGGGTGACAGCCCTAAAAGAATTGGAACATAACTGGATTAGTCTGGGTTGGGAGCCCAATAAGGAATTTGGGGGCCCAAAATCTGTAGCACCCTGTTAGTGGTCACTGCTTAAGAAACTGAAATAAACAAGCACTGAAATATTATAAATAATTAAATAATAATATAACTGCAGCTGATGATGAAGAATATACTAATGCCAAGCAAGTTAGTTGTGAATTGCAAGACAAGTGCTAATTACTAACACAGTAACTGAGAGAGTGAGATAGTAAATTATTCTTAATAGTTTTTTTAAGGCTGGCTGACAAAAGTCTTTTGGTCATTGGTGAAAACTGCAGAAGCATTCTGAAACCCAAACAGCCTCGACTTAGGTCCCAGCGGTCCCTGGAGAGCCCCGGGGTGCTGTTCTCATGTCAACATCCTACCCTTGTCTCTTATATACATGTACAGAGAGCGCCTCTCTGTGGCTCCACAAGGCCGTAGTGTCCCTTCGCAATCCGGTCTGTCTCGCCTGCCTTTCAAAGCCAGAAGATGGTAAGCATTCGCTTCTGCCTGCAGGCAGGGCTGGACTGGCCATCTGAAATATTGTGGGAATCCCCCCCCCCCCCACCTTGGCAAAATTTACCGTAGGGGGTAAATCCCAGTCCCGCCCTGGCTGCAGTCACTGGCTAATCTTCCAAAATTGCTAACACACTTTCCCATTCCTTCCTTTCTATTGTCCGTTTGACAGAGTTGCGTTTGTTTGTAAAGTTCTCATTGGAAGAATGCCGTCTGCACACATTCCCTAGGTCACTGGTTCAGAAAGGTAACACTTTGCTGGTAGTGATTTTACTGTTTCTAAACATCACCTAGTAATAATGTAATGATACAAACAAGGTTCAGTGTAAAAAAGCACAGAATGCAATAATATAAATATTTTCCCTTAAAGGCCTCTAATAATATTCGCAGTTAGGTGGCTTTCCCGCCTTAATTGAGTAGACATAGTGTTAGAGGCTCTGCAGAGGGGTGTCCACCATAATGCCTGCAGAGTTCTCCTCAGTACTGGGGGGGTTCTCAGACCATCCTCAGGGTGATCCATGTGAGTAGGCGGTCTTATTGAAACTGGAGGTAGCCCTGTGTTTCCCCTTTGAAGCCATATGTCATAGGGGAACTGAAACATATTCATAAATGCTTATTACTCTTCATTAATCCCCTCTAACCATAATACAGGCCAATCGTGCATGACAACAAACAGAGCTGGAATCACACCTACCTCTAAAATTCCCAAGATAAAGATCAGGCAGGACCTAAACACAAGTAAAAGAAGAGACATTTTATATCCTTACATCTTATATAAATACTGTGCATTTATGGTCAAACAAGTAATTTTCACACTAGTGATGAATTTACCAACTTACTGGTCAATTTCTTGTAGGCCTAATATTTCATGTTTTAATCATTCAGGTAAAACAATGCACAATGCACCAATAAAATGGAATCTATGCACCGTTTCTAAACCATATTCTTTTTCTAAATCAAGTAAACCTACTTAATTGTTGCAAAATGCCCGAGTGAATTTTGATGCAGTGGATTTAGGCACAGTGATGACTGCAACAATGAAGAACGCTTGAAGGAGTTATTTTTAACTGCGCAGATAGATTCCACGACCATTTGAAGCTAAAAGCACACAGCGACACGTGGCGGTTAAATGACACTGCTAACTGATGCGGATGCCAGTCGCGTTGATCCAGCTCTTATCGGACTGTGTATGCGTGCGCCTTTCAGACAATATGCTTTGTACGGTGAAACCGTAAGTTTCAATGAAGGACCTCTATGTTAATTCGTTTCGTACCCAAGTTTTGGAAAGGAGCGATGTCTCGATTGCATCGCTCTTGCATGAGCGACTAACTGCACGTTGCTCATGCTAAGAAGGGGGCTCCTGAATTTACTGGTCACGTCAGAGGCACAGGGGGCAGCTCAAGGTGAATCCTGCACTAACTTCGTTCTTATAATCAACCACTTGTGATTCGCAGGAAGAGCGCGTGCTGATGGAGTGACCTCAGAGGAATGCCATTCATCCCATGTTTAGCGTTGAGTTGAAAAGAGGCATAGGCCTAAATAGAAAAAAAAAATCACCACTGTTATACAATACTCGTGTGTTCTGGATAACGCTTTAGGAAACTACACCTTTAATCTTGTAGGAATCGATTTCAAATTCAATTTGCAGGTAAAACGCAATTGTGTAATGAACTGTCTAATATGAAAATCATCAAAGAGCAAAAACCTTCCTTTAATTCTTTAATTAAAATTTAGGAAATCATTTGGATATCGAATGTTGATAATGTGATAAACGGACTCATTTTTTTGGTCTATGAAACTACTAAGGAAATTCGCCTTAGCTGTCGTTATTTTTAAAATCCAGCTGAAGGAGAAAAACGAGTTAGGGAAGTGTAAACCCGCAGCGCCTGTTTTGTTTCCGCCACAGAGTAGAGATTACTCTTTCTTTCCCACAATGAGAGCACAGTCCCCAAAGGTTTCAACAACGCACCTTAAATGAAAAGTGTTGCACACAAAGTAATTCTGTTGAATATAATGTAGCAGCTGTAAAAGACCCCCCCGCAACAGCAAACAATGCATAATTTGCAATTATATAGCAGAAATTATGAATGTTGCAGGGCACAATACAAGAATTATGCCACTATAAAAACTGGGGTATTATAGTAACCAAGGTTTTTCAGGAATTAATTATTACGGAGTTCATAACTGACATTGTAAACGTGAAAGTTTTTGTATAACCTTATTTGTAAAACTCATTAGGAAAAACGCGTTGCAATCTTCAAATAATTATTGAAAATGTAATAACTGGCACAAACTAATAAAGCGGTATCAACAGTAATATGAAATGTACCTTATTTATCCCGTTACCCATTTTCTCCGAACGACGTCAAATGCTCACTGTACAAACTTCTAATGATTCATATGATGGTCGCGGCTGTGGTACGTTTTTGTTAAACCTCCCTATTAGCGGCTGTGAAGTTTGCTCTGAGCTACTGGAAAGCCATTAGCTTGTAATGCATTCTGGGATATGTAGTTCACTGCCAGCTACCACGTATCTTATAGCGCGATAAACTTTGCGTTAAACAATTAGCACTATAGGAACCACAGGGATTATAGGGAAATGGGATTGGGGAAAATGCTCAAAACTGAGTAAAACTCAGAAAGTGCGTAATAACGCATTAAAAAGATAGGAATTTTGCTGGTGGAAGTGGGTCTCTGGAGGATGGATGAACCGCTACCATATTTTTACATATTTAATCATTGCATTCATACGGAGCCCCTAAGGTGACAAGGGAGCAGAAAAAAAAACGGCAGAAGAAAAAAAAAAGTAATGTTTTGCGTTATAACCCAAAACTTTTGCGATATAACCCAAAACCTTTGCGTTATAACTCAAAACTTTTGCGATATAACCCTAAACTTTTCCGTAGTATTAATGCAACAATAAGATCAGGTGACTAGCGTACTTTTGGTCATTCAAGTGCAACTTCCAAAGCCGCAGTTTGCATGATGTGGTTGATCCCCGCTTCGCTTATTAATCTAATTTAACGGTTAAAAAAACTTGAGTTCAGTGTGGTAAGATTTGATTGTTTAATTCATAATTAGTAATTTGTAAAGCAAGCCTTGGTAATGTACGTTTCAGTAACATTGCTAATTAAAGCTAATCTGTTGAGGTTGATTTAAGCCTAAAGAATTGTTCGTTTTTTGTTGTTGTTTCATGTTTATAATAAATTAATATAAATCAAATGCTTTTTTCTCACATGAAGTCCATTTATTCTGCATTTTGCATACATCCATCGATAACCATGAAGCTGCCCAGAGTGCAAAAGCTGCTCACAAATAAAGTTAATTAAATCACCCAAGTCGGAGTAGTTTTTCCGTTGGAATAATACCCTTTCACATAAAATCCTATTAATCTGCCTCAGACTTATGTGAACATCATGCCTAGATCCGAGAACAAACTGAATGTCCATATATTGTAGACCAAGATCAAAGTAAAATTCGATTAAACGCTCCATGTTTTCCTATCAATTATGTTCCTTACACTGACTGATTACTCATATTTCCACTTCAAAGTCACAACAGTTTTGCCTTATGTCGCAAAAGTTTTGAGTTATAACGCAAAGGTTTTGGGTTATAACGCAATGGTTTTGGGTTATAATGCAAAGGTTTCGGGTTATATCGCAAAAGTTTTGGGGTTATAACGCAAAGGTTTTGGGTTATATCGCAATGGTTTTGGGTTATAATGCAAAAGTTTTGGGTTATAACGCAAAACATGACTTTTTTTTTTTCTTCTGCCATTTTTTTTTCTCCTCCTTTGTCCCCTTAGGGGCTCCGTACCATTCATAATTGCATTCAGTTATATGTGAACAATATAATTTATAATCACAGACTGCTGAGATCATGTGCAAAGTGACAAATTAAACAATAAGATTATTTGTCGTAGTAAATATTTCGTTTTACGTTTCATTTTGTATTTTACATATTTAGCAGAATAAATATTAGAAAACACCCATTGTCCTCATGTCCTTTGCAATATGCAGTCCTGGGCAAAAAAGCTGACCTGCTAAGCAAAATGTGGGTGAGGGTTTGCTGCACTTGTGCAGGGAAGTCACTCCCAGTGGCGAGCAGGGCAGCTACCGGGATTTGTCATGCAGTTGGACTCAGGATTCCCAGTCAGTGAGTCATGGCATTTGGACCTATGCTCCTGCAACCTTCCCGTGCCTCACAAGCCTTTGCTTGCTCATGTGCCACATCTTCGTTATATATGAGTGTCTCTGCTTAGGTAAGGAGTGTGACTCCCACAACAGAGTCTTCTAGCCCGACTTTAAGTAATAACAGGACAACATCCTAATATTCTACAAATGTCCATAGTGCTCTTTCAACAACTATAGACATGGTGGAACAAGAAATACTTTTTATGCAAAATACAGATTTACTGGTTTTATTGAAATGTTTTATACATTGAATTAAGATTTTAGTATTAATTTAGTATTCATCAGGAATACTAGAGAATAGCTATTTGTAACAGTACTCCATACAGTTGGTATTGCAATAAGCAATATTGGAAGGAAGGAAGTACACTTCCACTTTATACAGGATAAACTGTTATTTGAGATGGATAGAAAAAAAGATGGATGGAAAGATGAAAGATTGCTAAATGTTTGGGAGGGTGATGGTGTAGAACAGTGTAGACAACAGGCTGGACAAGAAAACTTACAAAGCGGGCAAATTTTCACAATTTCGGTTCTACAAATAACTACTGTTCTTGAAAAATAAATTCACACTTTTAGACATATGAAAAAAAAATGTCTTCCAAAATATGACAATATGACAACATTTGCTGTCAGATGCTGTCAGCGCTCTGGCAACTTGCTGCTGATTCATCTCTCATGATTTCTAGATTCCGATCTGTGATAAAGAAAATTGAAGGTCGGCTCTTAGTCATGCATGGATAAAGCAGCTCTGAAATGTACTCTGCCCCTAAAACTGCCCTAACTGGCACCAAAGAGGTGTTTCTCTTTCACACCCCCTTCTCTTAAAAAGAGAACAAGACTAGGAACTGGTGAAAAAAATAAACAGACATTCCAAAACTTGGTGCTGATTAAGTCTTACCCGTAAAACCAGCTCTGGGTGCTTTTCTGAATCTGCTCTGAAAGGTGCATCCTGTTTTCGTTTTTATCTGCGCTGTGTCTGATTAGCAAGAAGACCCAAAGTTGTATAATTCGCAGTTATTCATATTTTTATAGCACTTTCCAGGTAGACGCCTGTCTTCACTATGAACATTACATTTATATAGCGCTTTTCAAGACACCCAAAGAACTTTACAGAACCAATGGGGAACCACTTCAACCACCACCACTGTGTTGCCCCCACCTGGATGGCAGCCGAATAGTAGCTAAGGTGATGAACGGGCAGGAGAGAATTCACCAATTAAATATAGGGGATGATTAGGAGGCCAGATTCGAAAGGGCTACAGTCAGCAGTTTTAGCCAGGGCGTGAGGGTACAGCCCAGGGATCTTTTATGACCCCAGAGAGTCAAGACCTCAATTTCATGTCTCATCCAAAGGATGGCACCATTTTTACAGTACAGCATCCCTATCACTGCACTGAGGTATTGGGATTCACCCAGACCACAGGATGGGCTTCCCCACTGGCCACATCAACTCACTTTCCTAATTTGTCTCCCATCCGAAAACTGGCCAAGCCCAAACCAGCTTAGTTTCAGACGGATTACCTCATCTGAAATGCAGATGGTATGGCTGCTGGCAACAATATGTAACACTATAACATTTGACTTTAATTTTTGTTCAGAGTCTGGAGCATCTAGGGCAAACATCATTGTCATGTACCTTTCCTCTTTGTCTCTGTGTGTATAAGCCTTGTGTCAAGATTTATACATAGTATTCAGTATAGGACAGTGCTTCCCAGCCCAGTCCTCAGGGACCCCAAACGGACCACGTTTTTGCTCCCTCCCAGCTCTCTGCCAGACAGTCCTCACATTCCTGGGAGCCCCCGGGGACTGTGTTGGGAAACACTGGTATAGAATATTTAGCGTAGAATTTTAGACCAACATGATCATATGAAAAGTGTGGGTAGTACTGCAGCCTTACAATTTAGGGGTTGGAGGTTCAAATCCCACCCATCTCTCTGTATATACAGGTGGCATGTTCTTCCCATGTGTGTGTAAGATCCCTCCCTAGGTTCCAGAGGCATGCAGTTTGGCAAATCTTGTCTAGGTTGCCACCTGCCTTGTGCTCTTTGCTTTATGAAATAGGATCCAGGTTTACCATCTGTGTGGATGGATGGCCAATCATATGACCCAAATTAAAGAATGCTGGTACTTTCTAGCGAATCACCTGTGATTTGCCCTCGTTGAGGAGTGATACACTGTGCTGTGTGCCACAGTTGTGAATTCTGATGAGCTAACAAATGAAGCAGAGAAGAAGTAGCTATTAACTAATGGTTAATACTAATTACTAATGGTTTACCAACTTGTCATCAAGGAAATGAGGTTTAATAGCAAGATAATGGAATTATTTTCACTGGGTCTCTCTCACAAAACAACAATGTAGTTTTGTAATTTTCTTGTGAATGGGAAACTTTTTACCTGTAAGTCAAAATATTGCTACTGTTTTCGTGAAGACGCTCAGTTTATCTTCTACATCCAGTGACATCTTATTTCCAGTTGCTAAATGTTTGTTACGCTTCCATTTTGTGGTACTTTATTTATAGCAACACTGTGAGTCTGATTTGTAGTTTCGATTTGTGGTTTTGTGTTTGATGACATGAGAGAAAAGAAGAAAAAAAGACAGCGGAGGTGTTTACAGAAACCATTGAACTATTGTGCTTCCTTTGAGTGCAGTTTCAGCAGACTGGTGCACACTCCTGAAAGTTTGAAGAAACATCCAGGCTGGTGGTTTCTAATTGTTTTCAGGGAGAAAGTGAAATTTGTTATTTTTACCTTGTATACACAAGTAGCATCTGATTTGTATTGGCTGAGTCACACTGCCTGGAAAATTCACAAAAGGGCTTTTAGAAGATCTAGAATTACATCCTAACTCAATAAAAATGGTTATTTCTATTCTTTATGCGCTGTACCTGTAACCTCTAGTGGGTTTGACAAAATATCTCCACAAGCTCTCCGATGTATCACTTTTAGATGACAAATCCAAAGCAAAGGTGGGGGAATTTCAATCCATGGCCCAGTACTGGGGAATATCGTGCAGGTTGCCGTTATGTAGGTGAGCTGGGGACACAAACCCACTCTGTGTTTACCCCCTGCAAAGAAGGCTTCATATGTGAAGGCAAGGGACGTGTAATGCTTATAGTGGAGGAGATGGAAGAATAGAGGAAATTTGAGCGCTTTCAAGAGCACGTGGGCATCTTGGCGGCCGGGGATGCCCCACTGCCTCATACAGAACAACAAGGAAGACTGACGTTGCATGACGCTATGGTTGGCTGCCAATTTGTGCCAGAGTAAATATCTACCTGAGCCATGCAATAGATAGGAACACAGTTTCCTGAACTAAC